TGGGGAATGGTGTCAATGAATGATGGAGGGGCGGCTAGATGGATGGTGAAGGATGCCTTGGAACACCATAATTCAGAACTGGATTTGATCCCTTGTATTTTTGACTCCAGAACATAGATACCGCACTACACTAAGTTTTCTCAGGCTTCTTAGTGATGGTGACTTAGCCTGCTATTGTATTTGTCACTGATGCTGATTAACAAGGGGGCTTCTCACAGAGGTAATGTCATGGGGCCCTCAGAATCCCCTTTAGCAGGAGGTCATCCTTCCAACAAAGTGAGACCTTGCCTAGTAATTTATCTTGTTTCCCATCAGGTGGCTGACCCTGTTGTCACCTTCTGTGAGACTGTGGTAGAAACATCCTCTCTCAAGTGCTTTGCTGAAACACCCAATAAGAAGTAAGCTGGGGGTCGTTGTGTCCTTGGACCGACACTCTTCCCTCCCCACCAACTCCACCACAGTCACAAACTCTGGAAATAGAGACCCCGCAGTCTTGGAATGGGGTGCTTAGCATATTGAGTTTTAGCCCAGGCCTCTGATCCATTTGCCTGTGGACATGATCTATGGAGTCCTTTGCCATAAGACTTTCTATGCCAGGATGACTTGCAATTGTCACTTCTCCTTTCTATATAAATGCTGCCCCAAACCTTACTTTCATAAAGAGTGATAGATTCACCCTAGCTGGTTTGGCTCAGTGGTAGAGCGTTGGCCTGCATACTGAAGGGTCCTGGGTTCAATTCCGGTCAAGGGCACATGGCCGGGTTATGGGCTCAATCCCCGGTGTGGGGCATACAGGAGGCAGCCAATCATTGATTATCATCATTGAAGTTTCTCCCTCTCCCTTCCTCTCTGAAACAAATAAAAATATATTTTTAAAAAAGAGAGAGAGAGAAGTAGATTCTAAAGAGAGAAAAAAGATAAGCTCTTTTGGCTCTACTCCTGTGGTTTTCACTGATGTCATTGCCTTATCTGTAACTTTGTCACCCTTTTCTTAGAAATGACCCTTGCTAGTCCTGCTCACCCACCTCGTTACTCATTTCCTCTCTGACTAGGAACAAGATCACCATGATTGCTGAGCCTCTTGAAAAGGGCCTCGCTGAGGACATCGAGAATGAGGTGGTCCAGATCACGTGGAACAGGCGAGAACACAGCTCTCATTCCAGGGCTAAAGGGAGACAGGGCAGGGCGCCGTAACTTACCTGTTGGTCTAATAGCCCACATTCTTCTGGGATGTGATTCTTTTCTCCCACTCTGCTATTGTCCTGGGCACAGTGTGGGTGGGGAGGGGTGACTGTCTCCAGAGAGGCAGGATCCATAGCCCAGGAGTCAGTCACAGAGCTGGCTGAGCCCTCTGTTGTCTCCTCCTTCCCCAGGAAGAAGCTGGGAGAGTTCTTTCAAACCAAGTACGATTGGGATCTGCTGGCTGCCCGTTCCATCTGGGCTTTTGGCCCTGATGCCACCGGCCCCAACATCCTGGTGGATGACACCCTGCCTTCTGAGGTACAGAACTGATGGGAGCCTTGTGATGGTCTGTTAGCTCAAGTGGAAGACACTGCAAAGTGTTCTTTTTTCCCTGAACGTATTTTGTGTCTTCTGGTGAAGGGGAATATCCTCTCACCAGCGTTCCTGCCTTCTCCTCCCTCTAAACTCTTTGGCTCTTGCCAGGCTCACTACTGAAGAACCCTTCTGTTCTGCGCAGGTGGACAAGGCTCTTCTTGGCTCAGTGAAGGACAGCATTGTTCAAGGTTTCCAGTGGGGAACCAGGGAGGGACCCCTCTGTGATGAGTGTAAGTCTACCAGTGTCTCCGCCTCCCCCACCTCAGTCCTCTAGGGCCCTTGCTCCTGTGTAGGAGGTGGTCGGCTTATCATTGGGACCTGGCAGGGCCGTCCCACGTCCCCAGCCTGTTTCCTGCCTCTCCCTCCCTATCCTTTACTGCCACTTAGTACGGCCTACAGATGAAGTCATTTCTAGGTTGACATTTGTTCCTCATTCCTGAGAAGGAAGAAGTTTGAGGAGCTGTATCAAAAGAATGGGATTGGACTGAAATGGGAATAAATATTCAATTCCTAGAATTTATTCTATATCAAAAAATAATTAAATGTCTGCAGAAGAAGCACATAAACTTCTAGGGGAACTTACAGTGTCTGAAACAAACACTAAACGTATGCTTGACTGCTGAGCTCTTCGCTCCAGGCCTGGCGTGCCCTATCAGAATGCCCATCTGTAGGGCCATTTTGTACCTTTTGTGGCCGCAAGATAGCTGTAGAGCTACAAGAGGCTCCTTGCTGCTTGGCCATGAGCCACTCCCTAATCAGCTGTCCATCTCCTTTTCAGTGATCCGAAATGTCAAGTTTAAGATCCTAGATGCAGTGGTTGCCCAGGAGCCCCTGCACCGCGGCGGCGGCCAGATCATCCCCACGGCCAGGAGAGTTGTCTATTCCGCCTTCCTCATGGTGAGCGCGAGGGGCTCTGCTCCTCCGGGGCGCGAGTCCTCCGCCTCCCCCGAGCTGAGCATCCCCTTGTTGCTCTGTCGCAGGCCACGCCTCGCCTCATGGAGCCTTACTACTTCGTAGAGGTCCAGGCGCCTGCGGATTGTGTCTCCGCTGTGTATACCGTCCTGGCCCGGCGCAGGTGAGCACCCGCACGTTAGGGAGACTCAGGACGAGCAGGAAGGCACTCGGCTACCATGGAGGGACCAGCCTCCCACGCTCTCCACTCCTGAAATCTAATGAGCCTGTTTTTTTTCAGAAGGAAGTAAGAATAGGAATGAGGAAGTCCCCAGCTTTCCTGCAGATTAAGATTTGAGATTTCTTATTGGGCAGCCCTCCCCAGAGAGCTCCTGGGGAAAGTCCTGCAGTGCGTCGTGGTGGGAATATCTATAAAACCTTAGGCATCAACGTTCCCACTCTGGCCCAGAGGTTGCTGCCGCTTTGGCCTCCACAGGGTGTTAGGCTGAGGTCCCCAGCCCCTTCTGTCTCCTGCAGTGCATTCACAGTCATGCTTGCTTTTACGGTAATCCTGGTTTGGGGTATATTTGAGGGCAGATTGTTCCTCTGCTTTTGACTCGGCCTTTGTGTTGTCTCAGGGGGCACGTGACTCAGGATGCACCCATTCCAGGCTCCCCTCTCTACACCATCAAAGCTTTCATCCCGGCTATCGACTCCTTTGGCTTTGAGACTGACCTGCGGACTCACACCCAGGGGCAGGCCTTTTCCTTGTCTGTCTTTCACCATTGGCAGGTGAGGAAATGGTGCGGGCTGGCCGACTTGGCCTCCCACCTGTACAAGTTTATGACCTGTTTCCCTTCCAAGTCCTGATAGATTTTCCAACCTCCTCCAAGCGAGTCCTGCTTCCAGACCCAAATAGAGGTGTGCCTGGACCCTCTGAAACCCCTTTGCCTTTCAGATTGTTCCTGGGGATCCTCTGGATAAGAGCATTGTCATCCGCCCCTTGGAGCCACAGCCAGCTCCTCACCTGGCCCGGGAATTCATGATCAAAACCCGTCGTAGAAAGGTGCGTGTGCCCTCAGACCTGTCACCACCCCTCAGCCCCCGCGGGTTTCAGCAGGAGTTTTATCTTTCTCACTCTTGGACCTTTCTCCCAAAGACTCGGCAGTTTACTGAACCGCATAGAGATGCAGTCTGCACAGGCCTCAGGCAGCCAGACCTGCTCCCCAGTGACAAAGCCCTAAAGGCTGGGCTTCCGAAACAGCCTGGCTAACAGTCCATCCCCCACCACCACCGGCTTCCTGCTCAGCCACAGGTCTCAGGTGGCCCCCACCTCATTCAGACACCACACAGGACTCATTCTTTCATTTGCCCCACCCTCTGCAGGGCCTGAGTGAAGACGTGAGCATCAGCAAGTTCTTCGACGATCCTATGTTGCTGGAGCTCGCCAAGCAAGATGTTGTGCTCAATTACCCCATGTGAACGCCAGGACCCCAGCAGCTCCTGCTCCCTGCAGTGGGCTGCACCCTGGACTGGAAGCGGGGGCCTCATGTGACTTGGACTCCATGTTGTCAGCGTGTGTGGGAGCTGCTGTGGCCGTCCTGGACAGCCCAAGAGCCTCCAACCCAGAGCCCAGTGCAGGAGGCCCATTCGGCCTCCTGGTTTCTTCTGTGGCCTGTGCCTGGCTCCATTCCCGGGGAACAGAGAGGAGTTTGGCTCAGGGAAGGAGGAGGGGATGAAAATGTTTAACCCCAGGAGGCCCTGTCCTCAGAATTTACATGGAATTTTTTTTACAAGTCTGACCTTAGACATGGTTTATAAGTGAACAGAACATTCTAACCTCTGCCTTTCTCTGTTGCTTTCATCCCCGCCCCCCCTCCACCCCCTCTCCTCCAGCACAGTCCAGTCCTGGCCCTTGGGTTCTAAATCTATGTCGTCTCCCATGAGGCTTCACTGCCTCTGCTTCCAGCTGCAGCCTACTTCCTGTCTGGGTCTCCAGGGAAGCAGCCTTTTATTTATTTATTTATTTATTTTTAATATATTTTTATTGACTTTTTTTTTTTTTTTTTTACAGAGAAGTAGGGAGAGAGATAGAGAGTTAGAAACATCGATAAGAGAAAGAAACATTGATCAGCTGCCTCCTGCATGGTCCCTACTGGGGATTGAGCCTGCAACCAAGGTGTATGCCCTCCACTGGAATCGAACCTGGGATTTTTCAGTCCACAGCCCAATGCTCTATCCACTGAGCCAAACCGGTCGGGGCAGGGAAGCAGCCTTTTAATCCATTGTTCCCGTGAGCATGGAGGCTATTAATGCCCCACTCCATTCCTGGCGTCCTGTCCACCATGTTTTTCTAGGCGGGCCTGAGCTGGCTCGGAAATTGTTGGGTTTCTGGGATCAGAGGTCTCCTGCACCTCTCTCTGCCCCCCTGAGAGTTTCTGTTGCCCTGAAGTTCAGGGCCACAACTCTGATCCCCAACCCTTTGCTCTGAGCTCCCCCACCAGCCACTGCCAATCCCTTCATCTTCTCTCCCAGGCGAAGAAGAGACTCGATTTTCTGCAAAATTCCTTTATTAGGAACATACCAGGGATTGACGTGAGGGTCTGACTGCCCTTGCTGTAGAAACCTACTTCTCCCCCGCATCCTGTGTTGCTCTCTTGATATAGTCTCTGTACATGGTGTACACAGCTCCTGTGTGAGGGAGAAAGAAAATACCCCTTAGCATCGAAGCCTTCACCCCTCTGATTCCCGGGTGCCCCAGAGGGGAGTAACAATGGCCGAGCCCCAGGGTCTGGCTCCAGCCCTTCCCTTGAGGGCTCAGCTTTCTGCCCTGGGGCTTAGCAGCTGCTCCAAGCACCTGACCACACAGCCTGGGGACAACCCTTCTGGCAATTTGCAAAGCGTTACAAGTGCATTTCTCACTAAGAAACCTCTCTGCAACCTGTGATACAGGCAAGCCAGAGGTGGTCATTACGTTACATGGGGAAACCAGGGATCGGGGAGAGGGATTTGTCCACTGTCATACAGCTGGTAAGGAGCTGCCTGCCTTTTGATCCAGAGAGGGAGAGAAATTCAGCCTCTGATTTGTGGCATGGTTTTTCTCGCCTCTAGGACAAACTGTCATGAGACAGATCATATTGTCCCCACAGGCCTGGGACAGGAGATTAAACGGAACCCTGAAAATGTCTCTGCTTGGGGGTTTCACCACAGACTGGGTATGGAGCCTGTGTAGGGAGTAGGGCCTGAAACCATGGTCCCTTAACTGCCAGAACTCACCTAGCATGATGGCGCCCACAGCACAGGCCTGCGCTGCCACGCGGGTATGAATCAGGTGTATGGACATCTTGGTGGAGCCACGAGCCTTCAGCCGGTAAATCCTGTATGCTGCCACCACTAAGCAGCCTCCTAAGCCTGTAGTCAGAGAACATGACCTCTGGACCTCATCTACCAAGCTCATCACTTGACAAGAGACACTGGGAAGACTGGCATCCGGATGAACAGCTGCTTTGCTGGGGGTGGGAGGGTTCCCAGACGACTGAGTTTTCCTCTGGATGGTGTTTCCCAAGTAGCTGCCTCCCTCCAATGACTCCCTTTCCCCACCTGCAAATAGCCCATCATCAGGACTCGCCCACCCCATTAGGTCTGCTCCGGGCCCTTCTCTGACCACCGTTGGCTCCCACATCTGATACAGCTGCTTTCCTGCCTTCCCAGGGCCTAGACTAGAGGAAGGAAGACAAGGGAGCCCAAACGGCTCCTTCCCCTCCTGACATTGTGTTTCCAGATGCCCCGTGCAATCAGGTGGCCGCCACCTCCACCCATCCAGACGCCCTCATTTCATTGTAAGGTGGTGCCCCTTTGTCTTCTGGCCCCTCTGCTACTGCTAACTCTTCTAGCTGACAATTGTTCAGTGGGCAGGACAGGAGAGATGTTCTCTAAGAGGCCCCTTCATGCTCCCATCCCTTCCTTTCCCCACTCACCTATAGGCACCAGTGGAGACTCCCTGGTCTTCCTCAGGAACTTATCAGACACGCTGTCTTCACCTTGGGGTGGCACCCACCAGCCTTTGTTAGCAGACATGATCCTGCCCCCAGATGTTGGCAGCAGGGTCCCCAGGCTTCAGCCCAGTCCTAGAAGGAGGCACCCCACACTCAGGACTCCAGTGCTCCTCAGTTTGGGGTGGAAAGGAGACCTCACCATTCCCTACAGAGCCACTACTTTTTTAAAAAAAACCTGTTTCAGATGGCTGGACCACTAGCACCATTTCTCCATCTCAGTATCTCTCTTCCCTAGCTCGTTCTGACTTCAGTTTTCTCTGCTTCCCTTTCCCCCATCTGCATCCCTATGGGTATCATCCTTGGGTCAAGAAAAGCAGCTGGAAAAATCCACAGATGAGGGTGGGACAAAAAGGCCTTGAGCCTTGGGGACACCCCCAAGCCCCCCTCGTCTTGAGTTTGTGACAGTTACTCCTGAGGGATCTACAGAGCAGGATCTGGCCCCAGGGAACCAGAGCCATCCCAGACTGCGGTGGCTACCCAATCACCAGAGCCGGAGACTAAAATAATTGGACCTGGATTTGTGTATACTTGAGCATACGTTTGAGACAATACTCACGGAACAAATGCTCGTCCCTGAGCTGCTCCCGTTTCCAACTCTTACCATGTCCTTTGCAAATACCAACCCCTGCCTCCACCCCTGGGCTGGTGATCCTATTGTTCCACTTGCTAACACCTGTAAATGCCTGCTCTGATCACAACTTAAATGGAGTCCCAGAGGCCTGGTCCTTAAACCAGGGGTTCTGCCTGTGGGCTGCTTCCTAAGTCTAATCATGAAACAACTCCCTGCTTTAGGCAACTTCTATACCTCGCCATCCCTCCTCTCCCCGAGGAGCAGCAACCTTTGGTCCTATAGGTCTCAGCATGCTGTGCTTACCGCAGCAGATGGCCTGAAGGTGGACTAAGCAGCCGGGCCAGAGCTCAGCGTCTGTTTTGAACTGGCCAAGAGCTGAAGATGAAGCTGCCACTACGGGGTCAGGGAAGCACTAGCGGGCTTTATGGAGACTTTGAAGCCAGGAGTGGAGAGGGGAGGAGATAGGACAGGGCACCAGGCTTAACCCCCCATCTGCTGAGTTTCAGGATGGACTCCAGGCACTGGAGAGTAATGAAAGACCAAATGGAAAAGGGCCCTTAGCTGGCTTTAGTATTTTAATTCTCGTGGACATAAAGTGGCTGGGTCAGAGGTAGAAACAGAGTAGAGATCCTGGGTTCTTCCTTGAGTTATATGGCCTCAAGTTTCCTTCTGAACAATGTGAAAAGTAAATATAATGCTCCAATTATGGGAGGCAGGCTCTCAGGTCTTGGTTTCTATACCTTCAAAGATGCTTTCTGGACCAAGGAGATTTGTTCAGGAGTTTGAAGCAACGGGGACTTCCCTCACATCTCCAGAGCTCTTTATACTGCCTGGGGGGCTACAGAAATACCTATTCTGTTCTAGGTAATTACATTTCAAACCTCTACTGTTCTATATGGTAAGTAACAGTTTGCTTATAGACCAGGGGACTGAGCTTCCCCAAAGCTAAGTACCTTTGTCCAAGGGTACACAACTAGTAAATGGCAGCATTGAGATCTGTACCCAGGTCTGGCTGGCTCCAAAATCTGTACTCCTATTGTTTTCCAGTGGGTATTCCTGGACAGTTACTCTGCTTTCCAGTAGGCTGGCCAAGCTGAACGCCTCACCAGATTGATACTGAAGCTTAGGAATGCTCATTGATCATCCAGCCTTGATTAGAAAAAGAAAAGTACCTTATGGCTACGCAGATGGAGAGAAATTGGGATGCACTCTGGAGGGTCCCACTTCATCCCAAGCCTTTGTTCCTTCCCTCGATCCCTCTCAGCCCCCGTGTGTCTGTCCTAACGGGGCTTTTCTGCGCTGGAAATTTGTCCGGCAGCTGATGTCTCTTTCTCTCTCCCCAGCACTCACTGCTCTAGGAAGAGACCCAGGGTCACAGCAACTCCCCTGGGCCTTCACATATCCCCAGCGTCCATGGGAACTCTCCTCCCAGGCATTCACACACTCTTCCATGAGCCTTTTCCTGCTCCCAACGGTGGCCTGAATTCTCAAGAGGAGGGTGACCCTGTCCAGAGGTGGGGAGGGTGGGTGGAAATGTCTGGATGAGACGGCAAGAGTCAAGATCAACTCCAAGCCCTTTAGAGAACAGGGACCAAGCCAGTGGTTCTCAGCCTTCCTAATGCTGCAGCCCTTTGATACAGTTCCTCATGTTGTGGTGACCCCCAACCATAACATTATTTTCATTGCTACTTCATAACTGTAACTTTGCTACTGTTAATGAATCGTAATAAATATCTATGTTTTCCTATGGTCTTAGGAGAACCCCTGCTGTATAGCCTAAGACCATCAGAAAACAGATATTTACATTACGATATTTACATTCTACCTGTTGAGATCATGTTTGATGCTCCACCAGCATCCCAGCCCAGAACTGAGAAAATAATAATACAATAGTTGCTGTGATTTACTGAGCACTTAGGAGCCAAAAAGTGTGCTAACGGCATTAAGTAGATTGTTTTACTTAATCCTTACAATAACTATGAAGTAAGTACTATTACTATTATTCTTCCCATTTCACAGAAGAACAAACTGAGGCTTGTATTAAATGTGAGTGAGAAAAAAATCCAGACTTCTCATCATTCCTAAAATCAAATCTCACTACTCTGGACTAACAGGAGAATGAGTGTAAAGTGGAGGGGAAGTCCTGAAATAGAAAAAAAAAATTACTTTTTATTTTCTTTTATATAATTTTAATTGATTTTCTTACAGAGAGGAAGGGAAAGGGATAGAGAATTAGAAACATTGATGAGAGAGAAACATTGATCACTGCAACCAAGGTACATGCCCTTGACTGGAATCAAACCTGGGACCCTTTATTTATTTATTTTTTAAACAAAAAAAATATATTTATTTACAAAAACAGGCAGTGGAGCAGATTGCCCAACCTACAATTTAGATGAAAGTATTTACCCAGTAATAACAAAAAGGACTACTAATGAGTTTAGGGCCACATTTACCTTTTACCAAGGAACCAGTATCTCATATAGTGTTCTTGGGGGCAATTATACATTTTAAAGATAAGGATAATACTGATCTTTATGATCATAGAATAATCTATCAAGGATTTTAAAATTACAAAAATTCAGGGCACAAAATTTCATTTTAAAATGTTGCATTGCAGATTTCACAAAGAATATTAGTTACAGATCAAAATTCCAAGCAGTAACTCTCTATTAGTTGGATACGTCCATGTTATTTCTATAGAGAGTTTAATGTTTAAATTCCTAGGAAAATAATGTTTGATGAGTTAAAGATACTATCTGGAAATAAAGATAAAAGGAAAGAATAAGAATGGCCATTTAAGAAGACTCCAACTTAGCACGTTACAGAATGTTGTCCTTAAATCATGGAATCCAGGTGTAACTGTAACTACCCAGAACTCACTTTAAGGAGAGGCACATCCTGTAACCTACAGATCTACAAGAAGGCTCTGGAATCAATAGCCATCACAATCTCTGGGTGTTTAACTGCAACTGAAGCTGCCAAATTCACAGGAACCTTACCTCTTTGTCTTAGGATCCAAATGAAGGAAGATTTTCCAGGCAAGGTTACAGTTAATCACACTTATAACCAGCTGTTTTGCCCTGTGAAGTCTAGGGTGTATTTTCAGCACGAGGGGTGATGTACAACTCCTTTTGTGAACAGAAATTTGTGTACATGTCTCTGCTGAAAACGTAACCCAGTGAGTGCGTGTGAACGTGAAGGCGTGCACATGTATAGCCGTGTGCGAGGGATGTTTCTCGTTCGGGTTTACTTTAGAGTCAGAGCGTGTGAGCCTCGGGGGGCCAAGGCAGGCAGAGGTCCTGTGTTTGAGGCACAGAAAGCAGCTCACTTAATCCTTTCTTGCCAGGAGTCGGGATTTAAACCTGGGACCCTTTAATCCACAGGCCAAGGCTCTACCCACTGAGCAAAACCGGTTAGGGCTGCTTTTTCTTTTCTTTATTTTATTTATTTATTTATTTATTTTTTAAATATATATATATATATAATTGATATTTCACAGAGAGGAGGAAGGGAGAGAGATAGAGAGCTAGAAAGGTTGATGAGAGAGAAACATCACCAGCTGCCTCCTGCACACCCCCCACAGGGGATGTGCCTGCAACCAAGGTACATGTCCTTGACCGGAATCGAACCTGGGACCCTTCAGTCTGCAGACTGAGCCAAACCAGTTTCGGCTATTTTTTTTTTTATATATATATATATTTTATTGATTTTTTTACAGAGAGGAAGGGTGATAGTTAGAAACATTGATGAGAGAGAAACATTGATCAGCTGCCTCCTGCACATCCCCACTGGGGAATGCGCCCGCAACCAATGTACATGTCCTTGATTGGTATGAACCCAGGACCCTTCAGTCCTCAGGTCGACTCTCCGGTTAGGCTGCTTTTTATTTTTAAAAGGTTCTGAGAACACACAGAAATCTTTAAGGAACAAATTTCTGGAGCATTCTGCTTTAGTACACAGATAAGATAAAACTATGATAACATTTTTGGTAATATGCCAAGTCTTTAATAATTATTTCGGTCTCAGCATTTCTACATTAGTAATTTGCTTGGCAAACTTCCTTCCAGATCAGGTCGCACCGATAGAAATTCTATTTTACCAGGCTTTGAATGAATGATGCCGACAGACAGGGGATCCAGAGTGTAGGCCGGAGTTAGATGTGGGGTCAGTCAGCTGCTTGACCAACCACCCTCTAAATACTTGATCTTCTGCCACTCAATTTCCGTGAGTCTGTATCTTTTGTGAAACGGAGCTAGTAGGTATCCAAAGGATTAAATAAGGGTTAAATAAGATGATCATTAGAATTCCCCGGCACACTGCCTGCTCCTCCTTCTCTAGAAGAGAAAGTGGCAGGGAATGGCTAGCAGGCTGGGAGAGAAGCGGCGAGTCCCTGATAACAGATGGAAGGTTACATGCTCTGGAAGGTCCACAATGCCCCACACCCTTTCTTGTCCCTCTCCGACTCCTCCCTGCCTCCTCTCGCTGGGCTTCCCTACCCTGCGGGCTCTCTATGTTGGGGGAGGGAAAGGGGGACTAGGACTTGAAGCGCTACACAATCTAAGGCACAGCTGTGCTATATATAGCCTAAGGGAGCTGAGTGACTAGACACGGAATGGAGGACGTGCAGCTTTTGCCTTGAGCTCCGAGCTACAGAGAGAGCCGTGAGCGAGGGTGACAAAGAATGAACTGGACAAGGAACAGAGGATGCTCCAAGTTGGGGTTGGAATGGAAAGAACCCAGGCCAAAGGGGTGGGGGGTTGTAGGGGAGAAAACATTAGGCTATATACTAGTGTCTCAAGGACTAGAGAGGCAGTGTGGGAACAGGCAGGGGCAGTGGAAGTTTCCAGATCGTGGCTAGGCTGAGGCAGCCTCTAAAGTGCCTGAGGTGGGGAGGGTAGCACCTCCTTCTGAACACAGGCACTGAGCTCCCAGGACCTTGCAGCAATTATCCAAGGACAGTCCCAAGAGCCACAGGCCTGGGGCCAGGAGAATATTTTTGGTCCCCACTATCAGCAGGGCAGGCTGGGCTTCCGGTGGCCACCAGGGAGCTTTCTCACCTCCTACCTCTGTGGGGAGACTGCTCACATATTTGAAGAAATTGGAAGAGGGTGTGGATAATGGTGATTAGAAGGCTGAATCAGACTGAGGTGATGCTGATGTTACAGAATCATGTCTTATGAAGGAGCAGTTCTGAGCTGCAAAGGTCTCTAGTAGAGACCTCTCTCAGATGACAAACGGATGATGCAGAGATTTGAAATGCTTTGCTAAGGTCCTTGTGTTGGATGCTTTTGAATACCCAAATACCCAGCTTCCGCTAAAGCACGCTATGGGAAGAGACCACTTGTTAGGTCTGATCAAGTAATTGAATCGATATCCCCTCTCCTGGGAAACTGACCTTTCGATCATTTCGCAGCTGACATTCCCTGTCGCTTAAGACCACATTCCATTTGCTAAAACCAGTAACTTTCTTTCTTTTAATTTTTTAATTAATTAATTAATTTTTTAATCCTCACCCAAGGATATCTTTTCGCTTGATTTTTTAGGTGAGATGGGGAAAGAGAGAGAGGAAGAGACATCAAGGTGAGAGAGACACATTGGTTGGTTTCCTCCTCAGGAGCTCTGACAAGGGCCCAAGCCCAGGAAGGAGCCTCCAGCTGGGGTACATACCCTTAGCCACCGCTCTAACCACTGAGCAAAACTGGCCAGGGCTCGCCTAGAGTCCTTCAAAATCTCTGACTCGCTGGCGCTGGCACCATTTTGGGGTTCAGCCCATCTGGTTTTCCAGATGAGATAATACATTTATAATTCCTTACCCCTTTTGGCCTCGTCATTACCTCTTCCCTCAACCCTAACCCTACTGTCTTAACAGCCTACAAGGTTTAGATACTTTACATACCCATTTAATCCTTACAATAGTCCCAACAGGTTGATCTCGTTATCCCCATTTTCAAAGGAGGAAAGCAAAGCTCAGAGGTTAAGCAACTTAGCCAGATCACACAAGTAAATGGCTGAGCTATTTAACCAATAACGATAATCACTATAAACCACCTGACAATAGAAAATTAACAATAACATGCTGAAACTGGTTTGGCTCAGTGGTAGAGCGTCGGTCTGCGGACTGAAAGGTCCCGGGTTTGATTCCGGTCAAGAGCACGTACATTGGTTGCGGGCACATCCCCCGTGGGGGGTGTGCAGGAGGCAGCTGGTCGATGATTCTCTCTCATCGATGTTTCTGGCTCTCTATCTCTCTCCCTTCCTCTCTGTAAAAAATCAATAAAATATATTTTTTTTAAAAGAAAAGAAAATTAACAATAACAATTTCATGTACATCTCATCATCTCACTCTCACACCATCTTAGAAATATGAGTAAACGAGTACAATCAGCTGGACAGAGGGGACTTCTGAACCCAGGGCCTCCAAACCCTTCTTCCCACCCCAACTCCGGCACAGACTTCCCCTACTCATTTGCAAGCACATTGATCTTAATTTAAAAGTCAGCATTAATACACAAGAAACTGCTAACCAGGCTCTGGGAAACACTGGTAGGGGGTCATCTGATTGTTCCTTCTATACAACTTATTAAAAGGAAAAATTGAGCCCAGTTTGGCTCAATGGATAGAGAGCCAACCTGTGAACTGAAAGGTCCCAGGTTCAATTCAGGTCAAGGGTACATGCCTGGTTGTGGGCTCGGTCCCCAGTGGAAGGCTTGCAAGATTTGAAAGCCAACCACGTGGGGGTTTGCAGGAGGCAGCCAATCAATGCTTCTCTCTCATCATTGATGTTTCTATCTCCCTCTTCCTTCCTCTCTGAAATCAATAAGAATAATATTTAAAAAATTTGACAACAAAAAAATCTGCTTCAGCCAACATCCCCTTGGACAGGGAGGGAGAAGCAGTATGCGTCTCACAGGTTAACTGGAGCTGCTGGGGATTACGGGGAGGAGTTTTGTTCCTAATACCCCGCCTTCTCTCCCCCCATTAGTAGAGTCATCAAGAGCTTCTCTAGCAATCCTTTGTATGGGCGGGGCAGGCGGGGCTTCCGGTGGCCAATAGGGAACTTTCCCAAAGCCTACCTCTCCGGCCTCTCTCCCATCCCCCAGCACAGAAGCATCTGCTCCGAGGTGGCCCGCCAAGTGGAGACCCTGGAAAATGTGCAATGGAAATAGTGACACACTGCAGTCTTCCAGCTGACTGACCCTACCCTTCCCAAACCACAAAGCCCTAGGGTGAGTCTCAGCGTCCTCAAATGGGTTTTGATCTTTTCCTGCCTGGGGCCCCATGTGAATAGCATGCCATGTTCTCACAGCACTGGGCCCCGCTAATCCCTGCCGGAGGCTGGAAACTAGACCCATGTCCCGGTAGGAAGCCGGCTTTTCTTTCTCTTCCCCCCCAGCAGCCCTTCTGTGCTGGGAATGGCGCGCCTTCCTTCACTCACTCATTCTGTGGACTTTCCAGGCAGCGGCCCTGCCTTCCAGGAGCTCCCATTCCAGCAGACACCTTGGTTTGTTCCGGACCCTGGGGAATGCCTGGTCTGAAATCCTCTGGCTTAGGTTTCTGGCCTCAGTTTCCCACCTGGGACTGGATTGAGGATGCCACTAGCTGGCAGGGTGACAGAGGAGTCCTGAGTGGGAGACAAGAGCCTTTAGTTAGACTTCTGGTTAACTCTCTGCAGGTACAACCACTCAGCTGTCTTGGGTCTCATTATTTCCACCTTTAAAAAGGTTGCGTTAGCCCTGACTAGTTTGTCTCAGTGGACGGAACGTGGGCCTGAGGACTGAAGGGTCCTGGGTTCGATTCCAATCAAGGGCATGTACCTCGGTTGTGGGCAAATTTCCCTGTGAAAGATGTGCAGGAGGTAGCTGATCAATGTTTCTGGCCCTCTATCCATCTCCCTTCCTCTCTGTGAAAAAATCAATAAAATATATTTAAAAATAAAAATAAATAAAAATAAAAAGGTTGCTTTGGCTGCAGAGAGACAGGATTGCAAACTGGGCAGTGTGGGGAGGGGAGAGACTTTCCTTGACCCTTTTAGATTCTTCCAGCATGTCTCATAATCAAATAGACCTGAGACAGGTTAACAAAGCAGCTGAATTTAATTGTGTACGTACATACGAGAATCCTACAAACAGGAGAGGTTCAGAGAACTAGAAAGGGAACATTAGGTCTATGTGGCATTCTGAGCTAAAGGTGAAGTAACTTGGGAGGAAGTCATTCGCAGGACAATAAAAGAAAAGCAGATATTCAGTAATTAAAAGTTTGCCCTGCCCCAAGTTTGGGTCATAAAAATGGATTTCTGGTGATTGTTACTATGGGTGATGCCTCTAATTTAAGTTTAAGGGAGAGGTAAAAGTTTCTTGAACCCCAGGATTTTGACTGCCTTCAGCTCAAAGTAATTCACACGTCAAAGAGGCACATCTTGGGGAGGCTAGTTCTGGATTCCTTCGGCAGTAAGGCTGAGGCAGGCTACTGAGCCAGGACAAGTGGCACAGAGAAACGGCCAGGTAGTTACAGCAGTTTGCAGTCATCTAGAAAGTCCTATCTTCCTTAAATGAGTAAATGGTTTCCCCTTCTCCTCAACCAGAGGGTAAATAGCTTAAATCACCCTACTTAGGGAGACAGACAGCAGAAATCCAATTAATGCCACTTGCCAACCACACCTGAGGACAGATGCAGTTAAGAGAATAAACCTGGCCCGGCTGGTATGGCTCAGTGGTTGTGCATCGACCTATGAACCAGAAGGTCACAGTTTGATTCCCAGTCAGGGCACATGCCTGGGCTGCCGGCTTGATCCCCAGTGGGGGGTGTGCAGGAGGCAGCTGATCGATGATTCTCTCATCGATGTTTCTAACACTCTTTCCCTCTCTCTTCCTTTCTGTAAAAAAATCAATAAATTTTTAAAAAATCCTCCCTTAAGACCTTTCCTTAAATGTCCAGCCTTTATTATTATTATTTTTTAATTTTTTACAATGCCCAGCCTTTAAAACCCCTTAAAACTAAGGTCCAACGCGTCCTCTCCCTTTGGGGAGCAGCCCTTGCCGTTCCCTTTCCCTCCTCCTTCCCCCACAGGCACGCAGCTCCTAAGCTCCAAGGACCCCAAGAGACTTGCAGCCAGGGGAGAAGTGGGCAGCAGCAGCTCATCCCTGGCTCATGCCTCGAACCTGTCCCCAGTGTCCCCTCTTCCCTGACTTCCCAGAGAGCCTTGGCTCTCCTGCTGCTTCTTCTATGCTAAATCCTTTCTTGTTTTACTGCCCCCAGCTTTACTAACAGTTCCCTCATAGTCACCTGGATTCGTGCTGCAAGATTTTTCCCTCACAAAGGAAGCCAAGAACCCACACACTCCCGGCCAGCCCTAGGCAGCAGCCTTAGGCAGACTGCCCCTTTCCCGTAACAAGGTAGCAGACCGAGAAAGTGTATCCTTCCTAATCTCCGTGAAGAATGGGCAAAGCTATGAGATGGGAAGCCTTCCCTGGCAGATTCATCAATGAATTAATAAGAAAAGTATTTAATAAATATTTGATAATGGATTATTTATGCCTATAATACATAATACCCAGTGGGGCAAGAGTATATTTACAGTCATTAATATGGAAAATGATACAATAATTAATAAACAATAATACAAGAATACTGGCCCTGTAGCTCAGTTGGTTAGAGTGTCCTGATGATATACCATGGTTGTAGGTTCGATCCCTGGTCAGGAGGGCACATACAAGAATCAACCAATGAAAGCATAGGTAAGTGGAACTTGATATAAATGGTTTTGTGAGATTTATATGTCTTATTGTGTATAATTGTAGATTGCTCCTTCTCATCGCTGCATAACGTAACCTTGCGTGAATATAATACAATTTATCTACCCTATCTACCACTGATGGGCATTTTGGGTAGTTTCCAGTTTTCTGGATTTTACAAATAGCGATGCTATTAATACTCTAGTACAACTGTTTTGGTGAACATGTATACACATTTCTGTGAAATTCCCTCAGAATTGCAGTCATAGTAGAGCCACAGGTTCAGCTTTAGTAGATAGTGCCAGTTTTCCAAAATGATTTGTACCAATTTATACTCGGTTGAGCAATATTTGAGAAGTCTAATATTTCAATCAGCATGTACAATGTGTTACCAGTGTTACTTCCGCTAACATGTTCTTTATTCAAATTTTCATAAACCTACAGTCTTCACACTTGTCATTTTAAATATGTGTGTAGAGGTAATGTGATCATGGGGGTTGGGGGAAACTGAGGCATGGCAAGAACAAAGGGAAGAGAAGGTACAGAGTGCAACCAGCTGAGTGGGGACAGTGCCTGCCCTGGATAAACGGATGCTACTCAGAAGTAGCTGCCACTTGAAAATAGAGGCTCAGAATGAGCACATTTTTTGACATTTTATCGAGAAGCCAAAAATACAGGTTTGTTTGTTTTTTAATTTAGCGATTCATTCATATATTGGGAAAACATCGTACTGGCCAAATAAAACTTTGTCTGTAGGCCAGGTGCCTAGCCCTCAAGTTTTCAATCTCTGGACCAGCTGTTAGGGCTCCACACGGCTTTCAGGGTGGAGGAGGGAGTTAGCCCGTTACCTCACTTGTTAGAGCTTAATTTCCTCTCTGGTCAAAGGGGAAAAATAAACGCCTATCCTCTTGCATAGTGGTGGTCAAAAGAGAAGATTCAGGAGTGTGGGTGTTGGGAGTTGTCAAACACTAACAGAGGGCTTTCCCATCTCCTGAGTACATCTTCTGTTTCATACTAACTCACCCTACTTACAAGTATTTGAGAAAATTTCAGAATCCTATCAGACAGTTTAAGACTGGAGATTCCTGCCCTAGCTGGTTTGGCTCAGTGGACAGAGCGTTGGCCTGTGGACTGAAGGGTCCTGGGGTTCCATCCCAGTCAAGGGCACATGCCCGGGTTGTGGATTCCCCAGGAAGGGTCGTGCAGAAGGCAGCTAATCAATGATTCTCTCTTATCGATGTTCCTATCTCTCTCCCTCTCCCTTCCTCTCTGATAGCTATCATCCATCTAATCTATCTATCTATCTATCTATCTAAAATGGAGATTCCTAGACTTTTAGGAAGTCTAGGCTGCTGGAATGCAAAGGGTTAAGAGGAAATGGCCTTTTAGGGTTTCGCTAACTCGACAAGTCCAGGACTTCCATGACTCAAAGGAGCTGGGATGGTTAGCTCACCCAGGGCTCCGGGTTAGCAGAACCTAGAAAGTGGCATCAGCATCCTCCGTTACCCTGGACCACGGCCTCGGCCGAGCGCTCGGAGGACAGCTCCGGGACTGTTAGACCCGCTCGGAGCATCCAGGTAAGTGGGCGCGCCCTCCCGCGCCGTTAGCCGGCCGCTCCAGGGGGACCCTGCGGGCCGGGTACCCGCGTCCCGGCAATGCAGCCGGAGGGAGGGATGTACTGGCCCGGGGAGGGTGCTCCATCCCAGATGCAGGCTCCGCGCGGGCGGGTTCTACACGCGCCGGCGACGCGTCCCGGGCCGCCGGGAGCGAGCGCGGCCCCGGCCGCGGAAAGTTGGGCGCCCGCGCTCCGGGCCGCCCCTCCCGCCGCGCGCCACGCGCCGCGCCCCCTCCCAGGCCGGCGGGGCGCCCCCGCCCCCAGCGCGGCGCGCAGTGCGCAGGCGCCTCCCCGCGGGTCCGGGCGGCGGCGGGAGCGGCTTCGGCCTCGGCTGGAGACTGAGGTGGAGGCGGCGGCCCCGGAGGAGGAGGCGGAGGAGGAGGAGAGGCGAGGGTGGCGGCGAAGGCGATGGCGACGCGGGGCACATGAGGCGGCGGCCGGCGGGACGGGCCGAGGCCCGGCGGAGGAGGCGGCTCCGGGGGACCCCGCCGCCCGGTGAGGGGCGACCGCTGGGCCGGCTGAGGAGGGGCGGGCCCGGGCGGGATGGGGACGGAGCACTCGGGCGGGGAGGCCGGGGCGCCGGGGAGGAGGAGGGGCCGGGGGGAGGGACCGGGGCTCCGCCGAGGGGTTCCCGCCAAGCAGCCCGAGGGGCGTCGGCGCCGCGGCCCTCCGCCGTCCAGCGCGCCTCCCGCCCGCTTTGTCCCCGGGCGCCGCTTCCAAATCGGGAGGGAAACGGCTCGGGGTGGGTCCGGCCGCGGCCGCGGGAGGGGGCCCGGGCCCCGGCCGTGCAGCCAGCCCGGCGGGCGGTTAGGGGCGCAGCGCCGCGCCGGGTCTTTGTCTGCGGCCGCGGCCGGACCTCCCCGCCCGCACCCCGGCGCCGGGACTCCGCTCCGCGGACGGTTCGGAGGAGACGGGGCCGGGCCGGGAGGGGAGGGCGCGGGGCGGGGAGACGGGGTGGTTGCCTCTGGATGAACACTTAAAAAAAAAACAAAAAAAAAACTTCAAAAGGTTTCTTCCCACTTCGGGAAACTTTGGACGGCTGCGCTGGCTTTGTGAGTGAGTGTGTGAGTGTGTGTGTGTGTGTGTGTGTGTGTGTGTGTGTTTCCCTCCACTTCCATCTCCAGATTCAAAATTCGGGAGGAGGCACTCCCGCTGTGATTGCGGGCGGTTGTGTGGTTGGCCGCAGCGTGTGGAACTTTCAATTGAAAAGATTTGCGTAAATGTGTGGTTTTTCCCCTCTTTTTTTTTTTTTTTTTTTTGGTTTGGCGATTGTTCCTAAGATTGTATTACTTTTCTTTGGGAAATGGGTGAGTTTGGTTTTATCGTTTGTAAGGGTTGGGAAGTGGCGTTGTTACAGATTTCTTTGTGCTCTTGCTTAATTTTGTTAGCATCGAGATAACACTTTGGATAAGTTAGAGTAAGTTCTTGTAAGCATCTTGTACGCCTGGTAACTGCGTTGTGCGTTGTGTGCACAGTAAAGTGAGTACACGGGAAAGCGCTTGTAAAAAAAAATCAAGCGACTAGTGAAAGGGATTTTATTTGGATCCCCCGATAAAGGAGAGTAGCCTGTCTGGAGTACATTTATATCTGTAGGAAAGGGAGTGAATAATGTAATTTAGGGGTCAACTCTTTTTGTCCCCCCAAGAGGGTATAGGTATTAATATTCAGAGTAAGAATGTAGAAGAAGAAAACGTAATTTCAGGGCTCCTGACTAAAAATATTTTGAAGGGTCGTTACGTTTGCTGGGGTTTTCTGGTTTTATTTTTTGGGATTTAGCACAGAGTTGTATATTATAGTTGCTTTGGATTTCTTAAGTGCAATGTAATGGCAGAATATATATTTAAAAAAAACAAAACCCACCATGAAATAGCTTTTCTGGGTAAAAGATAAAAAGCTCTTAGTGTTGGCCAGATCGCTGTGAACAGTGTTGTAGGTGAAGGACATTTTGGAGAGAATATATGCAGACTCTATGGAAGTTCTTTTATGATTTGTCCTGGTTTGTCATGGTTTACTATTTACTACTTGTCTTAAACTGTTGTGCATTTTCCCAAAGCATTTCAAAAATTCTTCCTAAAAGTCATTGCTTTTAACTTCTTTTTAGGCTGTCTGACTTTAGAATTGGCTTTCTACTTATGCTAGGTAGTTACCAGTTTTCTTAAAAAGAAGCAAAGTAACTCTCTATTCAGTTCATGAAGGTAGTCTTTAGTTTTAGTCTAAAACAATGGATTTAACAAGTTAACATTTCTTTTTTTTTTTAAGTTAACATTTCTTGAACATAATTTTACTTACAAATACTGTTACCCCTTAATAATTATTTTTTCTTATTTCACATTTATATTAATTAGCCAAGGGAAGGGACACAAGACCTGTCTCTGATCAGCACTCCCCCCCTCCCCATCAATTCAGTAACTGGGGCCCTAGAATACAGAACACATAATTAACACAGAGCCTCATTCTCTTAATATCTAGTTTGTTCCATGCCTAAATAAGTGTAAAGTGATAAGTTCCAACATGTGTTTGTTTTTTTACTTGAAGTTTGTTCACATTTTAAAATAAATTAGATTTGTTCTTTTTATTATTAATAATATTAATCTGGATAGTTAACTGCAATAGGGGTCTCATTCTTGTTTCTAACTCATGCTCTCTCCCCCTTTCCCCCCCCTTTTCAATCCTCACCTGAGGATGTTTTCTTCATTGACCCTCAAGAGTGGAAGGGAGGGAGTGGGAGAGAGACATAGCAGTGTAACTAACACCGATGTGAGAGAGACACAAAGTGAGGTTGCCTCCCGCATGTGCCCCAACCTACCTGGGTCTGGGATCAAACCTGCAATCCAGGCCCCGCCTCTGACCAGGAATGGAACCACAGCCCTTGGTGCGCCAGCCAGGGAAGGCAGGCATTAACCCCGAGCACACCAGCGAGGGCTGCTCCTGCTTCTCTTGTAGCACAGAAACATAACGGCTCCTATCCACAATAGCTGATAGAGTCAAAGAAAGGATGGGATTACTTTTTTGCTTTTGTAGGTCATTGTTTTGAGTATGCATATGA